TCGACTGTTTGACCAAGATAAAAAAAACATTTCGACTGTTCGACCGAGAAAAAATCATTCGTTTATTTTGACTGTTTTACCGAGAAAAAAAACAACATTTCGACTGATCGACCGAGAAAAAACATTTCGAATGTTCGACCAAAAGAAAACTAAACGACTGTTTGACCGGGAAAAAATATTTCGACTGTTCGACTGAATAAAAAATTATGATTGTTCGACCGAAAAAAAAAACATTTCGACTGTTCGACCGAGAAAAAAAAACATTTCGACTCTTGAGCCGAGAAAAAAAAAGATTTCGACCGTCGACCGAGAAAAAAACATTCGTTTATTTCGACTGTTTGACCGAGAAAAAAAAACATTTCGACTGATCGACCGAGAAAGAAAAACATTTCGACTGTTCGAACGAGAAAAAAAAATTCCGACTGTTCGACCGAGAAAAAAACGTTTTGACTGTTCGACCGAGAAAAAATTTTTCGACGGTTCGAACTAAAAAAAGAGAATTCGACTGTTCGACCGAGAAAAATCATTTCGACTGTTCAACCGCGGAAAAAATTTTCCACTGTTCGACCGAGAAAAAAACAGTTCGACTGTTCGACCGAGAAATAAAACATTTCGACTATTCGACCGAGAAAAAAACGGTTCGACAGTTCGACCAAGATAAAAAAAATTATTTCGACTGTTCGACCGAGAAAAAATCATTCGTTTATTTTGACTGTTTTACCGAGAAAAAAAACATTTCGACTGATCGACCGAGAAAAAACATTTCGAATGTTCGACCAAGAGAAAACTAAACGACTGTTTGACCGGGAAAAATTATTTCGACTGTTCGACCGAATAAAAAATTATGACTTTTCGACCGAAAAAAAAACATTTCGACTGTTCGACCGAGAAAAAAAAACATTTCGACTGTTGAGCCGAGAAAAAAACAGATTTCGACTGTTCGACCGAGAAAAAAAATTTTCGACTGTTTGACCGAGAAAAAAGATTTCGACTGTTCAATCGAGAAAAAAAAAGATTTCGACTGTTCGACTGAGAAAAAATTTCGACTGTTGGTCCGAAAAAAAGATATTTCGCTGTTCGACCGAGAAAAAAAACATATCGACTGTTCGACCGAAAAAAAAAACGTTTCGACTGTTCAACCGAGAAAAAAAACATTTCGACTGTTCAACCGAGAGAAAAATTTTCCACTGTTCGACCGAGAAAAAAAAACATTTCGACTCTTGAGCCGAGAAAAAAAAAGATTTCGACTGTTCGACCAAAAAAAAACATTCGTTTATTTCGACTGTTTGACCGAGAAAAGAAAACATTTCGACTGATTGACCGAGAAAGAAAAACATTTCGACTGTTCGAACGAGAAAAAAAATCCGACTGTTCGACCGAGAAAAAAACGTTTCGACCATTCGACCGAGAAATAAAACTTTTCGACTGTTCGACCGAGAAAAAAAACATTTCGACTGTTCGACCGAGTAAAAAATTGTGACTGTTCGACCGAAAAAAAAAACATTTCGACTCTTGAGCCGAGAAAAAAAAAGATTTCGACTGTTCGACCAAAAAAAAACATTCGTTTATTTCGACTGTTTGACCGAGAAAAGAAAACATTTCGACTGATTGACCGAGAAAGAAAAACATTTCGACTGTTCGAACGAGAAAAAAAATCCGACTGTTCGACCGAGAAAAAAACGTTTCGACCATTCGACCGAGAAATAAAACTTTTCGACTGTTCGACCGAGAAAAAAAACATTTCGACTGTTCGACCGAGTAAAAAATTGTGACTGTTCGACCGAAAAAAAAAACATTTCGACTCTTGAGCCGAGAAAAAAAAAGATTTCGATCGTTCGACCGAGAAAAAAACATTCGTTTATTTCGACTGATCGACCGAGAAAGAAAAACATTTCGACTGTTTGAACGAGAAAAAACAATTCAGACTGTTCGACCGAGAAAAAAAACGTTTTGACTGTTCGACCGAGAAAAAACTTTTCGACTGTTCGAACTAAAAAAAAGAATTCGACTGTTCGACCGAGGAAAAACTTTGAGTTCGACTATACGGCCTTCTCGACTATGGATATTTGGTCGAACTCTGAAATGGGTTCGACCCGCCTCGGTCGAAATATAAATCGCAATATCCGACCCGGGTAGTATGATAGAAAAGCGTGATCTTTATTTTAACTGCATACGAGCCCGAACCCTTTTGGATTCTTGATTTAAAAAGAAGAAAAATCTGCATCATTGACTAAGCTACAGTTTGTAAGTTTAATTTAATCAGCAATGTCAACGTTTCAATTAAGTCGCAAATATTTTTCTGGTAAACTTCATTATTTGGTGTAATTTTTGATATACAGTGCTGATTTTAATTATCCGGACAAGATGAACAAAACTTGAATTTTCAAACGCGTGTTTCTCAAATTGAGTTAAAATTAGACAAAAAGTGAAGAGAACAAAAGTTGCTTAGAATTTCGAATCATGAGTCAAACAGCTCAGCCCGGGTACTTCTTTTTGCTCACTTTGTTGTTTGCATACATTATTGATTTTGTAAATTTCAGGTTCCAGTGACCATCACAGGCACATGTGTGTTAATGAGACATGTCAATCATCTGCAAACATGGACTCATTCCGATTCCCCCGCAGTTCCTGCTGGCTGATTCCGTTTGATCTTCCTCAAGTTTGCAAGAAGGAGTCCATTGGAACTATTTGTAGTAGTTGATTAGGCTACCTGCAGGGCTAACCATGTTAAGCCTTAATTCGTACATACGGTACTGTTATGTTCCAAATTCAGAAAAAGCATTCAATCAGATTTTGTGCTGCCAATTTTTTTGTGTTGTTAATACTATTGATAAATAGCCATATAGAGGCCCCAACAGAGGAGCGTTTTCCTTTTTCTAAACTACCATCGGCCTAAATTGACCTCTTAAAATGTTTCACTTTATCTAGCCTACATATTTAAGCGCCCGGGAATTGAGCTTCCATATTTCATCATCACTACCAGCCGCAATTCAATGATCGTTTCCAATTGATTATATATTTTGCAGTCTGTTCAATTGTTTCATAAGTTTGCACCGCTTGAATCCAAATTACCATTTCATACCGTGAATTCTCGTTGAGCCAGCAGTACGCATATATTTCTACTGGTAACTTTTGTTAAAATCATCAGCTCTTCGTTTTTGTAAAGTTGACTTTATTCGTGCAGTATGTGTGTGAGAGCTTCTCACAAACTACTTCTCTCTCTCTCTTCTCTTACTACACTAGTTTTGATTAATGCTCAGAAGACCAACACCACTGATGAGGAGCAGCTGATTAACAGAGTGGAGATGTTGGTTCAGCCAGGCAGCATAGGCCTCATGTTCGGCTTGTTCGTAGACCGAATGCAGGTCGTGTCCCAAACAGATGCCACCATTTCGTTCGACGGCACTGAAATTGTGAGTTCTCAATGCCACAAGTATCACTACTGTTGTCTTGCAAAAATCAGCACTGTATCAGTCGTAAGACGTGCTTTCTCCCAGATTTTTTTTTTATATTGATGTTTCAACCAAAATGGTTTCCAGATCACTTCTATAACACTAAACACCGTACGCCGCAGCCACATTTAGAAATCGAGCAAAAACGATTTATTTTTTGCTTTTTGAAAAATTTTAGACGACGTCTCGAGCCGAGATCCGCGACTCATGATGCGACCGAAATGGGTAGCCGAAATGGACTTTCTGTGACCAAAATTCCACCATCCCTCAGGAGGCTTGAGTCGCACAAAGTCACAACATAGCTAATTTGAGTCGCGATGGTCGCAACATAAGTCCCCGACCTCGACCCGGGGTTTTATAGCAAGCATTCGCGCTCACGTTTGTAGAATGCGTTTTGTGTTATTCGGCCAAAGTGGGTATTGTAAAATAGCAGCGAAGAAAGAATGTTATTAGGATCAAGGCGGGACTATCGAACTTAAATAAGTGCAACTGTAGCAACATCAACCAATTCAAACCAGCCATAACCTTCAAACTAGAAAAATATTATTTGATGCTGATAATTTCAAATTTAGTGAGCTTGTCGTGGTCGCCGTCCTCCCACTTTTGATGCTTCAACTAAGGCTAGTCTTCAACTGGGAAAGAAGTCATAAAATAAAGTGACATGTGTCGAAAGGGTGATGTGTGTCATAATGCACACAAATATATTGTTTCAACTTCAGGCACAATGGACTGACCCTCGCCTCGTTTCGTTTTTCGGAATCGACGAGAAGAAGTGGGAAAACCGACCGACACTGGAGTTCGGAGTGTCCACTCTTGGCCTTGTATGGACTCCGGAGATCCACTACAGTCCACTGGTGTCCATAGAGAGATCGGAGCAGGAGGCGGGCAGAGTGGAGCTGAAGAGAGGGGGGCAGATCAGCTACAGAAAACAGGGCAGATACACTTTCGCCTGTGACATCGCCCTCAAAATGTTCCCCTTTGACAGCCATGTCTGCCAAGTGAGCACAAAACAAACACACTTCCATTCAACTCCCCCAAAAACCATTCCATGTTGCGGACCACTTTAGAAATTGATTTTTCAACAGAGAAAAAGGTTCTTGCTAATTCATGTTTGTCCCCAATAACCCAAGCATAAAAATTCCGTTCGAGTTCAAGTATTCGATGAAATATTAATTACATAATCAAAATTTGTAGAAATTTAATGAAAAACTATATCTATCCGAGTATGTTTAATAATAAATAAAGTTTACGCATGAAAAAAAATCATGGATAAAAATGTCTACAATTTAACAATTTTCTGCGCAGATAGTGGTGGCTGTCTACAATCAAGATGTTCAAAATTTTCCCCTCATCGACAACAAGCAAAAGTTTTTTGGCATGAGCTCGAGCCAGTCAACCGCCGACTTCTTTTTTCGGGACTTCAACATCAGCAAAGACTACTCAGGCTTTTTTAGGGCGAGTGAGTTTCAAACTTATGTGTCGTCACACACTCTCAAGTTCCACATGAGCAGGAAGTACCAGGTGTTTCTTCTCACAATATTCCTCCCAAATGCCATCCTCACTGTCCTCAGGTAAATACCATTCTCATTCAACGCATATTTAGTTGGCACAAATTCATGCACTTTCTCTAAAAATTTTCTGTTCTCTTACTTGGAAGGCATGTCCTCATTGATTGCCAGTGTAACTTACTTATGAATTTACTCAGTGAAAAAAATTTTTTCTCTCAATTGGTTGAAATATTTTCACTGTTTGCACATAAAAATTAGTTGTGGATATCCATTCCCTCACTCAGTAAAAACTTTTTCCTCTCCTTTGGATGCCATATCGTCACTGATTGCTACTGTAAAATGTTTGTGGATCTCCATTCCCTGACTCAGAAAAGATTTATTTTCTCTCATCTGGTTGCCATTTCCCCACTGTTTGCATATGAAATTTAGTTGTGGGTATCCATTCCCTCACTCAGTTAAGAATTTTTTTCATTCATTTGGTTACCATATCCTCACTGCTTGAAAAGTAACTGAGGATGGATCTCCATTCCCATACTCAGTAAAAAAAATCTTTTTCTCATTTGGAGGCCATATTATCACTGATTGCTACTGTAAAATGTTTGTGGATCTCCATTCCCTGACTCAGAAAAGATTTATTTTCTCTCATCTCGTTGCCCCTTCCCCACTGTTTGCATATGAAATTTAGTTGTGAGTATCCATTCCCTCACTCAGTTAAGAATTTTTTTCATTCATTTGGTTACCATATCCTCACTGCTTGAAAAGTAACTGAGGATGGATCTCCATTCCCATACTCAGTAAAAAAAAATATTTCTCTCATTTGGAGGCCATATTATCACTGATTGCTACTGTAAAATGTTTGTGGATCTCCATTCCCTGACTCAGAAAAGATTTATTTTCTCTCATCTGGTTGCCATTTCCCCACTGTTTGCATATGAAATTTAGTTGTGGGTATCCATTCCCTCACTCAGTTAAGAATTTTTTTCATTCATTTGGTTACCATATCCTCACTGCTTGAAAAGTAACTGAGGATGGATCTCCATTCCCATATTCAGTAAAAAAAATCTTTCTCTCATTTGGAGGCCATATTATCACTGATTGCTACTGTAAAATGTTTGTGGATCTCCATTCCCTGACTCAGAAAGATTTATTTTCTCTCATCTGGTTGCCATTTCCCCACTGTTTGCATATGAAATTTAGTTGTGGGTATCCATTCCCTCACTCAGTTAAGAATTTTTTTCATTCATTTGGTTACCATATCCTCACTGCTTGAAAAGTAACTGAGGATGGATCTCCATTCCCATACTCAGTAAAAAAATCTTTCTCTCATATTGAGGCCATATTATCACTGATTGCCACTGGAAAATGGTTGTGGATATCCATTCCCCGACTCAGAAAGAATTATTTTCTCTCATATGGTTGCCATTTCCCCACTGTTTGCAAATGAAACTTAGTTGTGGGTATCCATTCCCTCACTCAGTTAAGAATTTTTTTCATTCATTTGGTTACCATATCCTCACTGCTTGAAAAGTAACTGAGGATGGATCTCCATTCCCATACTCAGTAAAAAAAACCTTTCTCTCATTTGGAGGCCATATTATCACTGATTGCTACTGTAAAATGTTTGTGGATCTCCATTCCCTGACTCAGAAAAGATTTATTTTCTCTCATCTGGTTGCCATTTCCCCACTGTTTGCATATGAAATTTAGTTGTGGGTATCCATTCCCTCACTCAGTTAAGAATTTTTTTCATTCATTTGGTTACCATATCCTCACTGCTTGAAAAGTAACTGAGGATGGATCTCCATTCCCATACTCAGTAAAAAAAATCTTTTTCTCATTTGGAGGCCATATTATCACTGATTGCTACTGTAAAATGTTTGTGGATCTCCATTCCCTGACTCAGAAAAGATTTATTTTCTCTCATCTGGTTGCCATTTCCCCACTGTTTGCATATGAAATTTAGTTGTGGGTATTCATTCCCTCACTCAGTTAAGAATTTTTTTCATTCATTTGGTTACCATATCCTCACTGCTTGAAAAGTAACTGAGGATGGATCTCCATTCCCATACTCAGTAAAAAAAATCTTTTTCTCATTTGGAGGCCATATTATCACTGATTGCTACTGTAAAATGTTTGTGGATCTCCATTCCCTGACTCAGAAAAGATTTATTTTCTCTCATCTCGTTGCCCCTTCCCCACTGTTTGCATATGAAATTTAGTTGTGGGTATCCATTCCCTCACTCAGTTAAGAATTTTTTTCATTCATTTGGTTACCATATCCTCACTGCTTGAAAAGTAACTGAGGATGGATCTCCATTCCCATACTCAGTAAAAAAAATCTTTCTCTCATTTGGAGGCCATATTATCACTGATTGCTACTGTAAAATGTTTGTGGATCTCCATTCCCTGACTCAGAAAGATTTATTTTCTCTCATCTGGTTGCCATTTCCCCACTGTTTGCATATGAAATTTAGTTGTGGGTATCCATTCCCTCACTCAGTTAAGAATTTTTTTCATTCATTTGGTTACCATATCCTCACTGCTTGAAAAGTAACTGAGGATGGATCTCCATTCCCATACTCAGTAAAAAAATCTTTCTCTCATTTTGAGGCCATATTATCACTGATTGCCACTGGAAAATGGTTGTGGATATCCATTCCCCGACTCAGAAAGAATTATTTTCTCTCATATGGTTGCCATTTCCCCACTGTTTGCAAATGAAACTTAGTTGTGGGTATCCATTCCCTCACTCAGTTAAGAATTTTTTTCATTCATTTGGTTACCATATCCTCACTGCTTGAAAAGTAACTGAGGATGGATCTCCATTCCCATACTCAGTAAAAAAAACCTTTCTCTCATTTGGAGGCCATATTATCACTGATTGCTACTGTAAAATGTTTGTGGATCTCCATTCCCTGACTCAGAAAAGATTTATTTTCTCTCATCTGGTTGCCATTTCCCCACTGTTTGCATATGAAATTTAGTTGTGGGTATCCATTCCCTCACTCAGTTAAGAATTTTTTTCATTCATTTGGTTACCATATCCTCACTGCTTGAAAAGTAACTGAGGATGGATCTCCATTCCCATACTCAGTAAAAAAAATCTTTTTCTCATTTGGAGGCCATATTATCACTGATTGCTACTGTAAAATGTTTGTGGATCTCCATTCCCTGACTCAGAAAATATTTATTTTCTCTCATCTGGTTGCCATTTCCCCACTGTTTGCATATGAAATTTAGTTGTGGGTATTCATTCCCTCACTCAGTTAAGAATTTTTTTCATTCATTTGGTTACCATATCCTCACTGCTTGAAAAGTAACTGAGGATGGATCTCCATTCCCATACTCAGTAAAAAAAATCTTTTTCTCATTTGGAGGCCATATTATCACTGATTGCTACTGTAAAATGTTTGTGGATCTCCATTCCCTGACTCAGAAAAGATTTATTTTCTCTCATCTCGTTGCCCCTTCCCCACTGTTTGCATATGAAATTTAGTTGTGGGTATCCATTCCCTCACTCAGTTAAGAATTTTTTTCATTCATTTGGTTACCATATCCTCACTGCTTGAAAAGTAACTGAGGATGGATCTCCATTCCCATACTCAGTAAAAAAAAATCTTTCTCTCATTTGGAGGCCATATTATCACTGATTGCTACTGTAAAATGTTTGTGGATCTCCATTCCCTGACTCAGAAAAGATTTATTTTCTCTCATCTGGTTGCCATTTCCCCACTGTTTGCATATGAAATTTAGTTGTGGGTATCCATTCCCTCACTCAGTTAAGAATTTTTTTCATTCATTTGGTTACCATATCCTCACTGCTTGAAAAGTAACTGAGGATGGATCTCCATTCCCATACTCAGTAAAAAAAATCTTTCTCTCATTTGGAGGCCATATTATCACTGATTGCTACTGTAAAATGTTTGTGGATCTCCATTCCCTGACTCAGAAAGATTTATTTTCTCTCATCTGGTTGCCATTTCCCCACTGTTTGCATATGAAATTTAGTTGTGGGTATCCATTCCCTCACTCAGTTAAGAATTTTTTTCATTCATTTGGTTACCATATCCTCACTGCTTGAAAAGTAACTGAGGATGGATCTCCATTCCCATACTCAGTAAAAAAATCTTTCTCTCATTTTGAGGCCATATTATCACTGATTGCCACTGGAAAATGGTTGTTGATATCCATTCCCCGACTCAGAAAGAAATATTTTCTCTCATATGGTTGCCATTTCCCCACTGTTTGCAAATGAAACTTAGTTGTGGGTATCCATTCCCTCACTCAGTTAAGAATTTTTTTCATTCATTTGGTTACCATATCCTCACTGCTTGAAAAGTAACTGAGGATGGATCTCCATTCCCATACTCAGTAAAAAAAACCTTTCTCTCATTTGGAGGCCATATTATCACTGATTGCTACTGTAAAATGTTTGTGGATCTCCATTCCCTGACTCAGAAAAGATTTATTTTCTCTCATCTGGTTGCCATTTCCCCACTGTTTGCATATGAAATTTAGTTGTGGGTATCCATTCCCTCACTCAGTTAAGAATTTTTTTCATTCATTTGGTTACCATATCCTCACTGCTTGAAAAGTAACTGAGGATGGATCTCCATTCCCATACTCAGTAAAAAAAATCTTTCTCTCATTTGGAGGCCATATTATCACTGATTGCTACTGTAAAATGTTTGTGGATCTCCATTCCCTGACTCAGAAAGATTTATTTTCTCTCATCTGGTTGCCATTTCCCCACTGTTTGCATATGAAATTTAGTTGTGGGTATCCATTCCCTCCCTCAGTTAAGAATTTTTTTCATTCATTTGGTTACCATATCCTCACTGCTTGAAAAGTAACTGAGGATGGATCTCCATTCCCATACTCAGTAAAAAAATCTTTCTCTCATTTTGAGGCCATATTATCACTGATTGCCACTGGAAAATGGTTGTGGATATCCATTCCCCGACTCAGAAAGAATTATTTTCTCTCATGTGGTTGCCATTTCCCCACTGTTTGCAAATGAAACTTAGTTGTGGGTATCCATTCCCTCACTCAGTTAAGAATTT